TGCCGATTTTGTACCAGAGCCTGGAGACTGCATTGTATCCAAGGGCCTTTGGGAGGCCAGAAAGATGGAAAAGTAAAATCTGGATATTTTGGCTCTGTTGATTGGATGCCCTGGCAACCGCTTTCCAGACCTAATGACTGCAAAAATATCCCTGATCTCCAGACATATCTGTCCGTCTGCCTACTCAATATCTCCACTTGGATGACGAATGCACATTATATTTAACATGTTCAAAACTGAACTGTTAATTCCCACCACAAAATCTATTCTTCCACCCACCCATCTTCCTCATCTCATCCATTGTGCACCCTGTCTTGAAGACATCCCCAATCCTTCCCTCTCCATTACCTTTCACCTTCAGTCCACGTGCAAGCTCTGTTACTTCCATTTTAGGTACACCTGCCATTAGTCAGTTTCTCTCCATCTCCACTGGCACCACCATTGCTTAAGTCACCCTCATCACCTCCTAGTTTACCGAAGTAACCTCACCTCTGAATTTTCTGATGACTTGCTTTCCTCTAATTTACTCATGGTAAATTAGTCATGGTAATTTCTAAAAATGTAAATCAGATCTTGTAATTTACTTCATGGATTAAAACTCTAATGTCTTTCCATTCTCCTTTGAATAAAATCCAAAGTCTCTACCATGGCTGGTATCCCTGTGTGATCTGGCTCCTGCCCATCTCTCCAGCATCATCACATGCACCATTACTCACAGTCCCCAGCCCCACTGGCTCACTTCCTCGTCCCTGAACATTCTAAATTCCTTCATACCCTAGGGCTTGGCATAGTAGTTTTCCCCTGATAAGGAGATATTTCCCAGGCTCTTTGCAACTTTCAGATATCATCTCAAATATTCCCTTTTCAGAAAGAATACATTTCTTTGTAGCTAGCAGCCACTTAATTTCTGACCTCCATGGAGATCTCTGTCATTGCAATTCCCATTATTTAGTGCACCTTTTACTTTCTTCAGAGCACATGTCACATTTTTAATTCTTTCTTCTCCTCCCCCATTCCTCCCTCAATTCTTTCTTTCCTATCTGTCCTCATCAGACTGTAAACTCCACAAAGGTAGGGACCATCTTTACTAATGTTCACCAGTGTTTGCTCAGTGTCTATAGAGTGCTTGACATCTAGTATGTACTCAGTAATATTTGTGGAATAAATCTAGGCATAGTCTTCTTTGCCGCGAGCAAAAGTATTTGTCTGGATACTTTGGGCTGGGTTTGCCTAAGATATGAGCTATTTCCTTAAACAGATAAGGAATCTTCATGTCCAAGGTGGGACTGTTATGGCTGCTTTATTTTCCTCTGGTTTTAAGGTATGAGACATTTGGGACACTCTCTGTGTCCTTCTTGAGGTACGATTTGGGGAATGAGGAACAAATGAGAACACGACCTATGAGGAGGCTGTTGGAGTGATCCTGGTAAGCTCAGAGGAGGGTCTGGGTGCCCATGCAGATGATAGGAAGGGGCAGAATAAAAGGGATTTGGAGACAGGGCGCCTTGGCATGAAATGTAAAGAGGTGAGATTGTACAGGTGCTCACACTGCCCCTGACCAGCCCTGAGAATGAAAGCCCCCTTGAGTTTGGCTCACGAGGCACTTTGCCTCCCCCAGTCCTGGCTCCACCTCAAGGGGAAGATGAGAAGGAAGGAGGCCAATACTTCCAAAGGCTCCCACATTGGAGGCTGGGGGCAGGAATGTTGAAGCTGAAGCTGCTCTGTTGTGGGTAGAAAACATCGAAGAGGAGATTCATGTCTGAGGGGTTATAGGGGTTGGGCTCAGCCCCTCTGTCTCTGATTCTGGGACGGCACAGGTTCAAGATCACAGTGTAACAAATACAGTAGGATGCCTATCCGTCCAGGGCATACTTACCCTTTTACAGAGAGCCTTTATCCAAAACCTTCCCTGGACTACCTCGTCTCTCCAGATCTTCACTAGGGCCATTTCGGTGCTCATGACTATCCCTAAATCTACTCTAGGGCCGCCTTCCAAACCTGGAAAAGCACATGTGTCTTCCCTTCTCCTCCCTACTCAGAGGCGTAGGGTGGGCTTTACGTAGGACAGTGGCCGGAGAGACCAGGAGGCAGTAGAATGAGGACGGGTCAAGAGCGCTTCGTGCGTGTCTACAACCCTAGGTGGTGGGGCTCCTTGCAAAGCACCGAGAAGGGTGGGTTGAGACTGGGTTTCTTGGTTCTGCCACTTGTTATCTGAGTACACTGGGCAGGTTCCCTCATATCCCGCACCTGCAAGATGGGGCATGGAGCCCATGTTTAGGATTGGTATGAGGATGAAATGAGACACTACTGCACATGAAGTAGCAGACTCATGGTGACACCGGTGATGATGTTCTCCTTCCTTATATGGAATCAGTGTCACAATAGGAGGGAACTTGGGGCTCTCTAGGAAATGTCCTGCCATTGATTTTTTTTCCCTTTGGATCTCAAGTACAGAGAATTTTACCTATCATAATTCTTCTTTCCTGATACTCTCATTATTGACTCATCCATGGCCCTATTTATCTACAGATTCACCTACTCATCCAAGTATCTCCCTGTCTGTCTGTCCTCTGTCCATCCATCTGTCCATCCATCCATCCACCCATCCATCCTTCCTCCCTGTTTTTTCCTTCCAATCATCAATCCATCCATATGCTTACATACCTATATATCAATCCTACATTGCTATTCTATTTGTTGTTTGTTTATAGTAATATAAATGTTCTTGCAGCCACCATCCTCATGGAAACTAGAGCCTTGACAACTTCCATCTACATTTATGTCCCCAACCTTCTTATCCCTCTGCCATCCTACATCCAAGGTAACTGCTGTTTTGAATCTTGTGTTCTTTGTTCCTTTATAAAAATATGGGTTTTATCCTATTTCTATGTATTCCTAAAAACTATTTAATGCTAGCTGTTTGTAGTTTTATAAAAAGAATATCATGCTGTATGAAATCTTTTGGGGTTTACTCCCTTGCCAATATTTTATTGCTAATATATATCCACGTTACTATGCGTAGCTGTATAACATCTCTTTCAGTGGCTGTACTAAATTTATTGCTCATCATCCTGTAGATGGGAATTTGGATCGTTTTCAGGTTTTGCTCATTTTAAACACTGCTACCATGTGTATATTTGTACATATCTCCTGGTGCACATGTGCAAGTTTCTTCTGGGTGCAACTGAAGAGTGGAGATGCCAAGTTATAGGTTATGCAAATGTTCAATGCAGCAAAATTTTCCAAACTGTTTTCCAAAGTAGCTGTGTCCATTTATGTGCCCACCAGCAGTGAAAGAAAGACTCAGGTGCATCTTTATTTTTGCTATTTGAACAGGGACACAATGACATCTCAGTGTGGTTTTGCCTTGGCTTTTCTTGACTACTAATGAGGTTGGGCATCTCTTCATATGTTATTGGCTGTAAGTTTCCTTTAGGCCCGTTTTAACGATGGTGCTGTAAAGGCCTCATGGCAGAGCTTGGGTGTCCACAATGGGAGGACCCAGGAAGGAGCCACCAGAATTGTTCCCCTCTGGGTGGGAGCCTGTCCTGATGGTGCTGTAAAGGCCTCATGGCAGAGCTTGGGTGTTCACAATGGGAGGACCCAGGAAGGAGCCACCAGAATTGTTCCCCTCTGGGTGGGAGCCTGTCCTGCTTCTCTCTGCTGGGTTTCTTGGTCAGGGTCATCTTTTCTGGTCCAGGCTCTCCCCTCCTCTGGAGGCTGTGGGAGACAGGGAGGGACAGCCAGCACTGGACAGGTCTCAGAAGGCTGATGGGGCAGGAGAAGGTGGGCTAGCAGCTGCAGGCATCATGGCAGGTCCCCTTCCTGGGCCAGTCCTGAATAAAACAGGAGGGGATTAAGGGTTTAATGTCACTGAGTTGGGCTGCCCCTCCAGTGCCTGTGACCTGCAGAGGAAACAGGAAGCTTAGGCCAAGCCCTTGTTCTTCTCAGATCTCTCCTTAAATACTACCTCAAGGTGGCTGTCTCCACACCAGGTCCCTCTATCTCTTCTTCTGTAAATGCCCCCCCCCCTCCTGCTCAGACTAGGGGAACCTGCATCTTTGCACATCCTCAGGCTAGAGATGTGAGAGACAGAGAGGAAGGTTGAAGGGATTAAGGAGCAACTATCAGGGACCTTTCAAGGTAGAGGAGAAATGAGAGGGGTCTGTGGCTTTCTTCTCACGGTGCCCCTGTCAGCTGGAGACCCACCCCTGGCAGCCCAACCCCTGTCTGGGGTTTCCCTCTTACCTGTAAGGAAGCCTCCTCCTGAAGACATAGATGATAGAAAATGCAGTTAGAGGAAACAACTTCCAGCCAAGGAGGAGGAGGGGGGTGGATACTGTGGCACCTGGTGAAAGAAAGATATGAGGATGAGCCTGGTTCCTGCTTCCGTCACTTGACCCCCAGCAGGCTCAGCCCCACCCCCGACTCAGGTGCCAAGACTACACCTTGGTCTTGGGGGGAGTCACCTCACCTCCTTGAGCCTCAGTTTCTTTACCTTTAAATTGGGGATTATAACATGAACTCTAGAATGTTTTTGTGTCAAATGAGAGTACTCAAGCAAAGTACCTAATGGGTGCCCAGTAACTGCTGAATCTGAGTGGCTTTTGGGAGCATGAGTTGGAAATGGGGAAAGATGCTTCATAGTAACTTTGCTATTCATGGGAGTATCTGTAAGACGGGCGTGTCATCAGGGCCCAGCGGTGCCATGAAAGCAGCACTTCCTGATATTTGGCACCTAAGGCGTAATGCTCTGGTGAGGTTGCCACAATTGTTGTCCCATTTTATAGATGAAGAAGCTGAGTGTCAGGAAGGTGAAGTGACTTTCCTGAAGTAACTTGTGGTGAGCACAGCAGAGCCAGCATTTGGACCCAGCCTGCCTGTCTCAGGGCCTGAGCCTTCAACGGCTTGTCATTCCACTCCTACTCACCCAAACTTGCCTGCTTGTCCCCAAGCTCACTCAGCTTCGTGCTGGCCTGGACCAGTGCCTGGGCATTCTGCTACACCTGGCAGGTGAACAGCCTTTTGTCTTCCCACTCTGAAGTGTGGACCAGGATGTGACTGTCTTGGTTGAATGTGCCATCTGGGTTCTTGGTGGGGCCAGGGGCCTCACAGGTGTCAGAGAATCTGCTGCTTCTCATCCATGTGATTTGTATATCTTCGGGGTAAAACCCTTGCACTTGGCAGATGAGGAAGGCCGCCTGGAGTGTCGGGACGTGGTGTGCTGATATATTCACTGTGGGCACAACTGAAACAATAGTTCTTCCTTCATTACTTTCTTCCTTCATGCAAAACAAGCTCAAGGAGCAGCCATAGCTTTCTAGGCATTGTGCTGGTTCTTGGGAAACAGTGTGAACAAGACAGACATGGTCCCAGCCTCACGGAGCTCCCACTCCGGTGAAGAGGACAGGGAAGAAACAAGGGACATGACCCCACAGGGGTTCTAAGAGGCTACAGCGGGGCACCTGACCTGGTCTACAAGTGGACAGGTTGGGAAGGGCTTCCAGAGGAAGTGACCTTTGAGGGAAAATATGAAAAGATGAATAGGAGTTAACTGTATATGGCAAATTGCATTTTCCAAAAATGACAAAGCAAGCCCCACATACTCCTCCAGAAGCTTGTCACACCTCATCAGAGGGGGAGTCGATTTCTGCTCCCCCAGAATCTGAGTGGGACTTTGTGACTGCTTTGATGAACAGGATGTAGCAGAGATGACACTGTGATCTATTTTTTGAAGGCTGGGTCATAAAAGTTGATATAGCTTCCACCTAGCACTGTCTTTCTTAGGACACATCCTTGGGGCACAGCCACCAAGCTATGAGGAAGCCCAAACTAGCCCATGTGGAAAGATGATAAAGAGAGGCCCATGTCAGGAAGAACTGAGGCCGCAAGCCAACAGCCATACTGGTGGTCAGACGTGCTGGTGGAGGAGCTTTCAGGTGATCTCAGCCTCTGAATGGTACAGCCGAGGCCCAGCCATCACACAGCAGAGACAAGCCGTCCCTGCTCAGCCTGTCGGAATTCCTGATCCACAGAATTTGGGAGTATAATAATTTTGGAGATTTGGAATAAATTTCCAAAATACTGAGAGCCTTATGATCATAAGAAATATTTTTTTAAAAAGTAACAGAACTTCTACCTCCCAAAGATACTAGAGGCAGGGGATTCTGAAAGAGAAGGTCCCACTGATGACATGATGTGGGACGATGATGGTCGTATTAAATAGGGAACCTCATTCTCACCTCACTGGGGGTTTTGTGGGGAATGAATGGGAGGGTGCAGGTGAAATGCTTCCAATGGGGAGCCTATGGTGGTCACCAAATGTTGGCCCTGTGTGCATGTGTGGGGGCTTACCTTGGAGGAATCGGGAGACGTTCACATGGCCTCTGAGGGGGCTCAGCAATTCACTGTGAGCCACTTGGCAGGTGACCTGGGAGTGGAGTGAGGAAACCGAAAGAGTCACCAGCAAGTTGCTGAGGACAGTGTAGGAGGAAGCATCTCCAGGCGGGAAGACTAGGGTCTGAATGGCTGGAAGCTCCATGCCATTTTCAAACCATTTCACATATATGTTTTTGGGAAAGAAGCCAGTTGATGTGCAGGTGAGATTCACTACTTGGCCTGGACTGGCCCTGTCGGAGGGGCCAGAAACCTTTGGAGGAGAGGGTTTAGCTTTGATCAGGGCCAGGGTGGAGAGAGGAAGGAGGAGAGAAAAGAGAGACAAATGGAGATGGTGAGTTACTCTCTAGCATAATACCCACCCTCATGGTCCACCCTGCTTGATTCCCACCTCCATCTCATCCCCAGTTTTCTCCTCTTCAGAAATGTTATTGTTACTCTTAATATTATAACAGCCAACCAATTGGTCCCCCTGACTTGACTTCTCAACATTTCCAGCCCACACTCAGAAACCAGGCCATGGTGATCTTGCTAAAATGCAGATCTGACCATAGCGTTGTCTTTCCCTCCCTCCCTCCCTCCCTTTCTTCCTCCTTCCCTTCCTTTGTTCCCAAAGTACGTTGTTTAAAAAGTCATATAAAGCACATAATTAAAAACAACAGGCCCCTATTTCCTCTCCTTGCAAAAATTACATACCTATCATTTTTAAGTATTTTAGCTGATTCTTTAGGCATTTCTCTCTGTGTTTCTAAATAGCATGCTTATACTGTTATTTCTTGATTTTTCAGTTTTCTATATTGTGGATGGACCTATTACTAAGTAAGATGATGACTTAGCTCTCTTACATCTCCCCCAACCTGCCACCCACACTTGCCCTTCTCTCATCCTCCTACCATAGACCCATCATAATTTTTGTTTTAGCAGTAATCAGCATTTATATTATTAGAACCAAATGAGCATTATTCACAAGTGGACCATGTAATATATCATGATTATATTTCCTTTCTTGTACATCTTTTTGTTTTCCCAGCAGTTTTTAATGGCCTCAGTATTTTCACTTGCTTAGTTTTGATGAACTTATGACAAATTCGTCACCAGACTTTCTTCCAGATGGCTATAACTCTTTCTAGTATGTTTGAAATTAGTTGGTATTGCAGTGGTCTTCAATTTAGGGTACATGTACACTGGGAGAGCACAAGATTTTTCAGGGGATATACAGACTTGGATTAAAAACACTTTTTATTATGACACTTCCTCAACACATAAAAATAGAGAGAAAGTACTCATCATGGTAGAAACTGTTATGAACAAATGGCTGATCTAGTTTCATCTACTTTTCCACCATCCACTGGTTATATGTTTTTACTGTGTATATTTAAGGTGTACAGCATGATATTTTGATATATATATAATTAGTAAAATAGTTATTACAGTCAAGCAAACTAATATGTTTATTTTCTTATGTAGTTACCTTTTTGTGTGTGTGGTAAAAGCACCTAAAATCTACTCTCTGAGCAAATTTCCAGTATACAGTACAATATTATTAATGATGCTGTACATTAGATCTCTAGACTTCATCCTCCATAACTGAAGTTTCATGCCCTTTGACCTCCATCCCCGCATTTTCTCCACTTGCCACCCTGGTGAACACCATTCCACTCTTTGTTTTTATGTATTTGAGTGGGGTTTTTTGTTTTGGTTTTTGTTCTGTTTTTTAGACTCCACGTATAAATGCGAGAAATTAAAAATGAAACTACCACACAATCAGCATTTCCTCTTCTGGGTATGTATCTAAAGACATAAAATCACTACCTCATAAAGACATCTACACCTCCATGTTTATTGCAGCATTTTTCACAATAGCCAAGATATGGAAGCAACATAAATGTGTCTGTCAATGGTTAATGGATGAAGAAATTGCGGGGAAGAAAATATATATATATATATAATGGAATATTATTCAGCCTTAAAAATGAAAGAGATCCTGCCATTTGTGACAACATGGATGAAACTAGAGGACATTATGCTTAGTGAAATAAGCCAGACATTGGGGTTTTTAAAGCAATTACCAGACACTATCATTTCATTCATAAGTACTTTAGCAGGTACACGTGTACCTCAAAAATTCATGGAACAATAGAATTAAAAGATAATACAAATCTTTCCATAAACTTTTTGAAGTACCTCGTATGTCTAAAAGTTGAGAATTCTTTTAAAACAATCAAAATATCATCATCATACTTAAAATTCAATAATAACGTTTTAATATTACCCAGTCTAAGTACTTTAGCATGTACGTGTGTACCTCAAAAAATTCATGGAAAAATAGAATTAAAAGATAATACAAATCTTTCCATAAACTTTTTGAAGTACCTCGTATGTCTAAAAGTTGAGAATTCTTTTTAAACAATCAAAATATCATCATCATACTTAAAATTCAATAATAACGTTTTAATATTACCCAGTATTTGTCAGCATCCAAATTTTTCTGCTTGTCCCATAAATATAATTTAACAGTTGGTTTGTTTGAATCAGTATCCAAACAAGATCTATAGGCAACATTCTGTTGATGTCTCTTAAACCTCTTCTAATCTAAAGGAGTTCCCCTTTCCTCGACATTTGTTTTAAAAACTAATTCATTCACCCTGCTGAATGTCCCACATCCTGTATCATTTTCCCATAGTTTCCCAACTGGATTAAGCTCCAGTCACCTACAGTGGTGCACGCTTGACCACACACCCTTCATTGGCTGTCTGACTTCACCACTCCCCGACTGGGATGTGCACACAAATACTTATCTCAGGGTTGGCTTCTCAGTGGACCCAGGCTAAACTTCTGTGTTTTAAAGTCCCTTGAAAGAATTTATCTTTGTCTGGTGAAGCCATCAATACATACTTAGATTAATTAGTTTCATTTTAGATTTAGTAATTTAGATATTTAGGAATTTTTTTTTCATTTTGGACCTCGTTTATTAATTATTTAAAACATTCATGTGTTTACAAACTCACATCTTAAGTCAAGTACCTTCAGAGAAGTTTAGTTTTTCCTCCCTGTCCCTTTCCCTCTGTTTCCTCCCTCCATTATAGGTAAATCTTAAAAATTAGATTTTATTCTCCTTCTTTAAAAAAATATGAACAAATATGTGTATATGCTTGTATTTTTCACTCTTCTTAACATGAAAGATAGTGTGCTCGACACACTATGTACTGCTTTTCCTGTTCAATGATATCTCATGGGTCACTCCGAAGCGGTGTGCTGAGTTCTTTCTTATGCCCTTTTAAAGCTGCATAGTGCCCAGTTGTGTGCCATCATTTATTTAGCAGCTCATCTTTTGCTCTTACAAGTAGTGTTGTAATGAAGGGTCTAAGCATAAGACATCTTGCACTTCTGTTAATAGATCTTTGGGATAAATTTCTAGAAGTGGAATTGTTGGGTCACAGGGTAATATGTAATTATGTAAGATTATATGTAATATATGTATGTTGTATGTATATATAATTTTGCTAAATATTGCCAAATTCACCTCCTTATGAGTTACATGATTTAAAAACTAATTCATTCACCCTGCTGAATGTCCCACATCCTGTATCATTTTCCCATAGTTTCCCAACTGGATTAAGCTCCAGTCACCTACAGTGGTGCACGCTTGACCACACACCCTTCATTGGCTGTCTGACTTCACCACTCCCCGACTGGGATGTGCACACAAATACTTATCTCAGGGTTGGCTTCTCAGTGGACCCAGGCTAAACTTCTGTGTTTTAAAGTCCCTTGAAAGAATTTATCTTTGTCTGGTGAAGCCATCAATACATACTTAGATTAATTAGTTTCATTTTAGATTTAGTAATTTAGATATTTAGGAATTTTTTTTTCATTTTGGACCTCGTTTATTAATTATTTAAAACATTCATGTGTTTACAAACTCACATCTTAAGTCAAGTACCTTCAGAGAAGTTTAGTTTTTCCTCCCTGTCCCTTTCCCTCTGTTTCCTCCCTCCATTATAGGTAAATCTTAAAAATTAGATTTTATTCTCCTTCTTTAAAAAAATATGAACAAATATGTGTATATGCTTGTATTTTTCACTCTTCTTAACATGAAAGATAGTGTGCTCCACACACTATGTACTGCTTTTCCTGTTCAATGATATCTCATGGGTCACTCCGAAGCGGTGTGCTGAGTTCTTTCTTATGCCCTTTTAAAGCTGCATAGTGCCCAGTTGTGTGCCATCATTTATTTAGCAGCTCATCTTTTGCTCTTACAAGTAGTGTTGTAATGAAGGGTCTAAGCATAAGACATCTTGCACTTCTGTTAATAGATCTTTGGGATAAATTTCTAGAAGTGGAATTGTTGGGTCACAGGGTAATATGTAATTATGTAAGATTATATGTAATATATGTATGTTGTATGTATATATAATTTTGCTAAATATTGCCAAATTCACCTCCTTATGAGTTACATGATTTTGCATTGTTACCATCAAAATATGGAATACTTGTTACCCTGTAGTTTCCCTAACCGAGTGTGCTGTCGAAGTTTTGGATTTTGGTCCAAGAAGATAGGTGAAAAACCGACTCTCAGTGTAGTTTTAATTTACATTTCTTTTTATATTAGGGTGGTCGAACATATTTTCATATGTTTAAGAGACATTCGTATCTCATTTTCTATAACTTGTCTTTTCATATTATGTGCCCACAATTCTGTAAAGTTGCTTGTCTTTTTCTCCTAAAATTGTAGAAGCTGTATATGTATATTAGGGATGATTCTTTGTCTATGTTTAAATTACAAAATATTATACACACATCCACACACAAGTTTCTTTTTGTACAATGTGGTCAAAATGATCATTTTTTTCTGTTTTTGTTTTTGCACTTTGAATTACAGTTGGGAATGTTTTCCTGGCTTTCAGGTTATGAGAGAATTCACATATGTTCTAGTACTTGCAGTTTTATTTTTTACGTTTACATTTCTGGTCCATTTGTAATTTATTTTCGTGTATGGCGGGAGGAACTGGATAGCAGGATACACTTCTGGACTTTCTATTGTGTTCCATTGTTCTGTCTACTAGTGCTCTCATCGATCCATCAATATTGTTGAAAAGACTCTCTTTCCCCACCAAATTGCCTTTACACTTTTTTTTTTTTTAAAAGAAATCAGTTGACCATATGTACGGGTCTATTTCTGGAGTTTTTATTCTGTTCTATCGATCTACTTGTCTATCTGGATGCCCATACACTATACGCTATGTGGTTAACGCAGCTTTGTAATCATTCTATGTTCATGAGGGGTATTAGTCTGTAGTTTTCTTTTCCTATAATGTCTTTACCTGGTTTTAGTATCAGAGTAATGCTGGCCTCACACATTGATTAGGAAGTATTACCTTGTCTTCAATCTTCTGGAAGAATTTGTGTAGAATTATTAGTATTTCTTCCTTAAGTGTTAGTTAGAATTCCTCAGTGAAGTCATCTGGGCCCAGATTATTCTTTGTGGGAGGCTTTTAAAGCACAAATTCAATTTCCTTAATAGATATAATCCAGGCAATTTATTTCTTCTTGAGTGAGCTTTGTTAGTCTGTGTCTTTCAAATAATTTGTCCATTTCATCCAAGTTGTTGAGTTTATTGGTATAATTTTTTTCATGAATTCGATACCAATAAACTTTCAATAAGAGAAAATTTATAAGTTGCCTTATGATGTTTTTACCATCTGTGGAGTCTGCAGTGATGTTACGTCTTTCATTATTGTTAGTGGTAATTTGTGTCTTCTTTTTTGTTTCCTGATTGTGTGGCCGTGCGTTTATCAATTTTATTGATTTTCTCAAAGAAGCAGCATTTGGTTTTATTGATTTTCTCTATAGTTTTCCATTTTTTATTTCTGATTTCTGTTCTTTATTATTTTCTTTTTTCTGCGTACTTTGGGTTTCACTCATTTTTTTTTTTCCGAGTTTTTAAGGTCACAGAATTAAAACCTTTCTTCTGTCCTCGCATAGGCAGTTAGTACTGCAAACTTCCACCTAAGTGCTATTCTGACTGCATCCCACAAATCTGGTATGTTGTGCTTTCTTTTTTGTTAAGTTTAAAATACTTTCTAATTTTCCTGTTGATTTCTTCTTTGATGACGTACTATTTGGAAATGTATTTAGTTTCCAAATGTTTCCAGAGATCATTTTGCTCTGTTAATATAACTCCATTGTGGTCAGAGAACACACTTTGTAGGATCTGACTCATTTTAAATTTACTGAGACTTATTTATAGCCCAGAATATGATCTATCTTGATAAATGTTTCCTTTGCACTTGAAAAGAATGTGTATTCTGCTATTTGGGGGTGGAGTGTTCTATAGATATCAGTTAGCTTAAATTGATTTACAGGGTTGCTCAAGTCTTCTACATCCTTATCGATTTCCTGCCTACTTGTTTTACCAATTATTGAAAGAGACGTGTTGAAATTACAGACTGTAACTGTGTATTTGTCTATGTATCTTTGCAGTTCTATGAATTTTTGTGTTGTGTATTTTGAAGCTCAATTATTAGATGCATGAAATTGGTATATTTTCTTGATTAATTGATCACTTTGTCATTATGAAGTGACCCTCCTTATTCTTGGTAAATTTTTTGTTCTAAATCTACTTTGTTTGACATTAATGTAGGCATTCTAGATTTTAAAAAATTTTTATTGATATGGCATAACTTTTTCCATTCTTTTACTTTTTAATCTATTTGTGCCTTTATTTTTAAAGGTTTTTTTTTTTTGCAGGCAACATATCATGGGTATATTTCTTTTAATTAGAGTGTTTCAACCATTTACTTTAATATGATTATTTATATGGCTAGGTTTAAATCTATTGTCTTGCTGTTTGTTCCATTGCATCTCATTTTCTGCCTCTTTTGAATCGTTTTTCTATGATTCTTTTTTTATCTGCTTTGTTTGGTTTATTAGCCATTACTCTTTGTTGTGTTATTTTATTGGCTGTTTTAAGATTTCGGGTGTCCATCATTAATTCATCATTGTTTACCATTAAGTGATAAGATACAGCTTCACAAATAGGATAAGAACCTTGCAACATTAAATTTCTGTTTTTCTCTTTCTGGTCTTTGTGTTATTTTTGTCTCACATTTTACTTTCATGTTTGTTATACACCCCCAAAAATATTGTTATTATATTTGTTTTGAACAATCAATTATGTTTTATAGATTTAAATAATAGGAAAAAGTTCTTTATATTTACCCACATCGTTACCATTTCCAATGCTCTCAATTCCTTTGTATAGATCCAGATTTCTATCTGGTATCATTTTACTTCTTTATGAAGGATTTCTTTTAGAATTTCTTTCAGTGCAGGTCTGTTGATGATGAATTCTTTCAGCTTTCGTACACTTGGTAAAGTCTTTTTAAATTTTATTTTCTTTTAATTTTTAAAATTGTATTATTATTTTTTACTTCCACGTTTACTTGTACATATTTGTGGGGTAGTGTGTTGTTTCAACATATGCACATAGGGCACAATGATTCACTTAGGGTAGATGGCATAGGTTTGTACATGTTAGTCCACCACTTCCCCTTTTCCCCACCCCTGTCCCTTCCTCCCCTCCCAGTCTCTGGTAACCATTATTCTACTCACTACTTCCCTAAAAAACTTTTTCTTTTTTTTTTTTGAGATTCCACCTATGAGTGACATCATATGGTATTCATCTTTCTGTGCCTGACTTATTTCACTTAACATGATGTTTTCCAGTGCCACCCATGTTGCTGCAAATGTTAGGATGTCATTTCTTTTTATAGCTGAATAGTACTCCATTGTGTAGATATACCACAGATTTTCTACCCATTCTTCCATTGGTGGGCATTTAGTTTGATTTCATCTCTTGGCTATAGTGAATAGCATTACAGTAAATATGGGAGTGCAGGTGTCTTTCTGATATATTGATTTCATTTTGGGGGGGTATATACCCAGTAGTGAGGTAGCTGGGTCATAAAGTAGATGTGTTTTCAGTTCTCTAAGGAACCTCCATACTGTTGTCCACAATGGCTGTACTAATTTACATTCCCACCAACAATGTATGAGAGTTCCCTTTGCTCCGCATCCTCACCAGCATTTGTTATTTTCTGTCTTGTTGATAATAGCCATTCTAATTGGGGTGAGATGATATCTCACTGTGGTTTTAATTTGCATTTCCTTGATGATTAGGGATTCTGAACATCTTTTTCATGTGCTTGTTGGCCATTTGCCTGTCTTCTTTAGAGAAATGTCTGTTCAGGTCCTTTGCCATTTTTTAATTGGATTATTTGTTTTTTTGCTGTTGAGTTGTTTGAATTCTTCGTATATTCTGGATATTAGTCCCTTGTCTGATGTGTTGTTTGCCAACACTTTCTCCCACTCTGTAGGTTGTCTCTTCACCTTGTTGACAGTGTCCCTTGCTGTGCAGCAGCTTTTCAGTTCGATCTAGTCCCATTTGCGCATTTTTGCTTTAGTTGCCTCTGCTGTGCAGTCTCACTCAAAAAAGCGCTGCCCACTCCCATTCCGTGCAGCATTTCCCTGATGTTTTCTTCTAGTAGTTTCATAATTTAGGGTCATAAATTTAGGTCTTTAATCCATTTTGAGTTGATTTTTGTGTATGGTGAGAGATAGGGGTCTAGTTTCAGTGTTCTGCATGTGGAAATCCAGTTTTCCCAGCACCATTTATTGAAGAGGCTGTCCTTTCCTCACTTTATATTCTTGGCACCTTTCTCAAAAATCAATTGCTTATAAGTGTGTGGGTTTATTTCTGGGCTCTTTGTTCTGTTCCACTGGTCTTTTTTTTTGGTCTATTTTTATGTCAGTATCATGCTGTTTTGGTTACTATAACTTTAGAGCATATTTTGAAGTCAGGAAGTACGATGACTCCAACTATGTTTGTTTTAGAATTAGGTTGGAAATAATTTTCTCTATGAACTCTGAAGGCACTGTTCCTTGTCTTCTAGTGTCCAGTGTTGCCCTTAGACATCTTATGCTGATATCGTTCACAATGTTTCATGAGCAATTTTCTTTTTGTTTCCAGTTCTTGAAAATTATGTGACCTTCTCTTTATCCCAAAGACTGCCTGTCATTCTCATTGTTTCCCCATGGCCCTAAGGTGCTAAAATTTTAAAGATTCAAGAATGCAGTTGATGTATGCTTCTGTGGCTCATTTTTTAAAGAAAAAAAAATTAATACGAATAGGCCTGAACTAACTTCTCTGCTTCCCAGGCTTTCCTTTGATGGATGCTGTTTAGAATCTTGCAGGCTTTACCTTCACTATGATTGTATGAGCCAGGACCAAACTTGAGAATATACAGGACTTGTAGAAATCAAGGACAGAATTTAAGAAATGTAGGGATTACATATTCCACATCAAAAAATGTGATTCTTATAATTTTCTGTCTCAATAATTTTATAATTCTTATCATATGGGAATTTATGATTTCACATTTTTAAGATTATGTTTTTAAGTTGGATTGGTTGTAATATCCAGAATACTAGTGATATATACTAATGTGATAATTATTATATAGCAAGCACTCTTCTAAGCATTTTGTATTTATAAACTCATTTACATTTATAATCCTCACAACACACCCATGAGGTGGATATTATTATTATCCCTATTTTACGTATGAGACAATTGAGGCATAGAGAGTTTACAAAACTTGTTAAGGTCACATGGCTAGTGTATGGCAGAGCTAGAAGTTGAGCTCAGGCCCTCTGGCCCTGTAGTCTGTACTTTTACCACTGTGCTTTCCAGCCTATTTTGTGGGCCCTTGGAAGCTGTGAGACTCTAAAGGATTAGGAGTCTATTGGTTATATTTCACTCTGCTCCTTCACTCTGACTTCTCACTTTCTCCATCTTCTATCCTCAATCTTGGCACCAGAGCTAACAAAGTGGAGCCTTGGGCTGAGATGGTGGGGGTCGTAATTTGTCTTAGAACAATGGACCTGATTTCTAGGAATCTGGACTTACCCCGCACAAACATCTCGGTGCCTGCCCCAGACTTAAACTCCACATCAGGAGTCCCTTTCCGGAACTTGACACAGTAGTAGGTGCCAGCGTCAGCTGTGGTGACATTTCTGATGAGGATGGAAAAGTCCTTGTTGTCTCTCTCTGTGGTGCTTCCAATACGTATTACCCGGGGGAAGAGGGCTTCTTGTCCATCTTTGAAACTGAAGATCAGCTGCCGGCGTGGCTCTTCCCCCCTGAACCACTGGATGGGCCCCACGGGGAGCAGGGAGGTCACAGTGCAGCGCAGAGTGGCCGCCTCTCCGGCTGCGACCGACACTGATGGCTCAGGCTGAGTCACCCGCAGCTCCTCTTCTCCTGTCAATCCTGGAGGGAAACACAAATCAGCTCCAAGTCCTCTGACCTGGCCCAGGTAGGGCTGAGGCTGGGGTCCAGGTGCCTGGGTCCAGATTGCAGTTAAAGTCCTCTTAATTCTTTCTTTTCATATCATATATTATCCTCTAGGGTGGGCAAATTGCTGGACTGGGTGCTGAGAGCAACACAGAGACAAGACAGAGAGACAGACAGTTCTTGCAATATATACAGACAGTGAAGTCACAAGAGAAGAAAATATAATCTATGAAAAGGTGTTCAACAACTGCATTAAATTAATAAAATGCATATTTAATTCAGAAGCAAAGTGGTAAAATTTATGACAGAATAGATGGAAAAGTTAAAAAAAAATACACAGATCTCAGCATGTGAAACATTAGAGGACATTTTCAGGCTGCAATAATAGAGGCAGTTGGTACAAGGCAGGCAGAGAGGTCAATGAAACAGAAGAGAGTCTAGAATTGATCCCAAGGAAATATGCAGATTTATTAAATGATCAAGGTGGCATTTTATGTCCATGGCAGAAATCTATGTGGAAGAATCAGACAAAACTCTTTAAAAAAAGTGGCTGCCTCCAGGGAGCCAGAAGCGTATGAGGGCTTTTACTATTTTCTGTTCATTACTTCCCTGTTTGTATTATTTTGACAACAAAATTGTAATGTAATAAAAATAAAATAAAACATTTCTCCCTTCTATAAGCTAAGAGTAGACACAATTTTTAGGATATTAGTTTGGCAAAAATTAAAAAGACTGCCAATTTTTAGCGTTGCCAAGGTTGTGGTAAAGCTGACACTCCTACGAGGGTACTTCAAAAAGTTCATGGAAAAATAGAATTAAAAGATAATACTAACCGTTCCACAAACTTTTTGAAGAACGCTTCTTATATACTGCTAGGAATTTAAATTGGCACAACCTTTCTAAATGACAACGTGGCACTATAATCATGACCCTAAGATATACATATATTGATAAATCCACTTTTTAACAAGTAGAGGGGAAAGACTTTAACCAAATCTGTTTTGGTCACAAATATTCAGAATGTCCCCTCATTTATTACTGCTGTGCCTGTGCTATATGTGTTAAGATAATGTATTACTAACATCAAGACATCCATATTTTATTGGGAAATTTTATATTTCAGAAGTCTTTGAAATGCACTCATAACCTCTGACACAGTAATTCCTCTTCGAGGGACTTATTCAAAAGAAACACACAAGGGTGAACACATTTTGTAAAGGAATGGTAATCTTAGTGTTTACAATATAGAAAAGTTTGATGTCAGGCACATGTCCAGGAATAGGGAGTGAGACAGATAAACGATGGTACAATTGCACAACGGAGAACTGTGTAGCTATTAGAATGATATGGTTGAAGCATATATTTGGGGATGTATTGATGATCATGTAGACATACATCTCTTGGCATGAACAAAGGTCCCTGATTTGTTATTGAATGAAAGAGCAAATAAAACACTGTATTTAGTATAACCATATTTTTGTTAAAAGTTTAATATTTAAGGGAGCAGCACAGTGAAGAGGTTAAAACAGGGACCTTGTAGAATCCCTTTGACCTGGATTCGAATGCCTCCTCTGTGACTTACTTGGTATTTGGCCTTGAGATTACTTAACCTCTCTGAGCCTCTGTTTTCTTATTCATGCAATATACACAATGCAGAAAATAAGACTTCTCTTGCACTTTTGTTGTTAGACCGAAACCTGAAAATCTTCGAGAAACACTCAGGACTGCTTGGCTCATGGAAGGACTGCTGTGAGGGGAGTACCCCCTGTTGACCTGGGGTCCAGTAGGCCAGACTCCCTCCAGCTATGCAGCCTGATGATTCTGTGAAGCCCACGCCCTCCCTCTGCTTTCAGTTTCCTGTTCTGTCAAGCATGATGGGTCATTCCCACTGCCCATGACTGCTGTGAGTTTTCAATGGTGACCCAGGCTTGTCAAGAACCCAGAGTGCTAATGGCCTGAATCAGAATACGTGTTCATATTGGTGTTTACTAAACCCGTGAGGATGTAACGGCCAGAGCTTACATAGAGGCTTGCGTGCCGCACATTACTCCAAACACTTAACTATATTAACTAACTCGTTTAATGTTCACCATGACCCTATGAGAAAGGCATTATTATTTACACCCAATTCACGGGCAAGAAAAGTGAGGCGCAGAGAAGTTTAGTAACTGGTCCAAAGTCAAACAGCCTACAAGTGATGAAACTTGGATTTGAACCCTGGCAGATTGGTTTCAAAAAATATCCGTGCTTTTAGCCACTTTACTGGATGGCCTCTCAGGTGAGATGTTAACACCACTGGGAGGAGGAGGGGGGCTGCTCCTATCTGCCCAGCCAGCTCTGGGGGGAAGAGAGTGGACAGGCAGGGGAAATGCCCACATCAAGAACAGAATCCTAGGATGCAGGGATTCTGGGAGACTTAATAGTCTAAAAAGCACTATTTACCACTTTTTTCTAATGGTTCTACATTGCATGTGTAGTATCTGTTATCTATTTATCTGCCTATCTACCTATCTATCTATGAATTTTTTTTTTTTTTTTTCTCCCTTTCTCCCTATCTTTCTATAAATTTTTTTTTTTTTTTTTCTCCCTTTCTCCCTATCTTTCTATAAATTTTTTTTTTTTTTTTTCTCCCTTTCTCCCTATCTTTCTATAAATTTTTTTTTTTTTTTTTGTCTTTTTTGTGACCGGTAAGGGGATCGCAACCCTTGGCTTGGTGTCGCCCACACCGCGCTCAGCCAGTGAGCACACCGGCCATCCCTATATAGGATCCAAACCCGCGGCGGTAGCGTCGCTGCACTCCCAGCGCCGCACTCTCCTGAGTGCGCCATGGGGCCAGCCCTATCTATGAATATTCTAACCAAGGCAGCCCTGCCTCCCAGTGCTATGGTCTTCAGCAGGACCTAGGACTGGGATGACACTCCTCTACCTCTTCCCTCAGCATAGCACCAGGTCCTGCACGTCCAACCCCAGGGACTCATGGAGACTTCACAGGGCATCAGGGGTGTGGGAGGCTAGGAATGCCCCAGTGGGGTAAATCCTATGTAAATCTGTACGGAGGAGGAAAGAATTCCTCCAAGCAATAAGAATTCTTGGGGGTATTTGTTTGGGAGATCCTTGTTATCAAAGAAACCATTTAGGAAATTGTCTTAAAGAGGTAGGGACAGCAAAGTAAGAGACCCTGGAATAGAGATCCATCTGCCCCACTGCCAATGGGAAATGGGACCATTGCCTAACTCAGCAGAGCATCCCTGCACTGGAGTACCTGAGGGCAGGGATGGTTACCTGTGAGTCCCAGCAGCAGAGGCAGCAGCAAGAATGGCAGATGCAGGTGGGTCTGAGAAGTAGGGATGGGCATTGTGGTGGGCCCTGGAGCCTGCTCTGTCTGATGTCTATCCTGGGGAGGCTCTGGACTCTGCTCTGCAGAGAGAGGCAAAGCTTTGTCTCCTGTAATATAAGAGGAAGTGACTATGATGGGAAGAAAGGGCAGGGGGTTGTGACAGTTCCTGCTTTTAGATTGTGAAATAGAAATCAGACACAAGCTAAAAAGTTACTGAAGTAAGGGTTCCAATATGGTTGGAGGAGACCTGGAGACTCCCAAAGTGCCTAGACTCTGCCCCCCGGCCCCTAACTCTATGTCAGGGGGGCTGGTAGCCCATTCTCATCCAGGATCCCGGGGACATGATCTGCCATAGTAAAAGGTGTGTTCAGCTTTCTGTGATAGTCCACACCTTGGGCTCAGATGAACTGTGCAGCTGGAGTCACAAGAAGAGCTCTGGGCATGGGGCCTCAAGGGCAGCGGGCCCTGTTCTCCCCACTCCAGAGGCATCAGTGTCTAAGATAAGCCTGAGGCCATGTCTGGTGTGACCCCTGGCTTGGCAGAGTACACTTGCAGGGGAAGTGGCTTTGGGTGAAAAAGTAGTCAGATCTTGGGAGGGGGAGGGTGCTTTGTATTTTAGAGGATGG